AACTATGGCGGAAACGGTGTGAGAAAACCCGGGGAGGTGGACCTACTGTTCGCCGAAGCCAAGGGCAACGGCGCCTGTCACTCGCCACGCCCGCTTCCTAGGTCCTCGGCGACCAGCAGGGATCGGGGCTTTAGTATGTCGTCACGCACCTGTTTCCTTTTTCCCCTTTTTTTTTTGGTTAATTCGCAAGTTCTCTCAACAGCAAGTTCGGGTACCCACGTGCCAGTTCAGCACGCTCGTACAGCAGCTAGATACGATAGCCAACCATTGGTTCGGTTAATTCTCTCTGTAGCAAGGTTGATTAGTCAACAATCGGGTTTAGCGAACTCTTTTTTTTCCCTAAGAAATATATAGTCAACAGTTGGTTCAACATGTTCTTCCAGCAGCCAATTCGATTAGCCGATAATCAGATCACCGAGTTCATTCCACAACAAAATTGGTTCACTGTCTGTCAGGTCAGCACATAGAGGGAGCAACAAGGAGATCAAGACGATGAGATAGCACCCACCAAAGGAATAGCTTGCTCAGTAATAATTTTTACCGTTCTCCCCCGCCGTGCAGTTGCTCTCTCCCACTCCCTTTCTCTGCGTACAGTCCCTCTCTCCCGTCGTGTCGTCTTCTTCTCCCTCACTCTTTCTCTCTCACTCTTTCTCTTGCTGTGCACCCTCTCTCTCACTGCACACTCCCTCTCTCACTGTGCACTCTCTCTCTCTATCCCTGCATAGTGTCTCTCACTCTCTCGCCCTGCTGTGCAGTCAGTCCCCCTCACTTTCTCTCTCTCTGTTGTGGCGCACAAACGCCGCGGTCCCGCTGGACCAGCCACCAAATGACTAGATGAGAATGATTCTTCAGCGTGAACATGGAAGGATACTTCACCTCATCATTGAGTTTCTGCAGCACGCCAAGGGCTCAAATTTGAGAAAAATGAGAATGTACCTTCAGCATAAACGGGGTAACATTCATCTCTGTTTTTTCATTGCCMGRCTACAGGGGGTYRCTTGGCTACTTATCCAATGAGGAAAAGCGGAGTGAACCTTCAACGAGAGCATGGGTAGATACAGTTCCAAACTGCAGGTTCAGTCAACCATCCAACAGATGATAAAAATAATAATAATAATAATAATAATAATAAAAATAAAAGAAAAATAACGATTGTAAAAAAAATAGGAATGATTCACCAGCGGAAAACGCAGCAAGATTCATCTACATATTCTTTGCCTTCTATCCATTGTGACCTCGAGTGAGCATCTGCCAGTAACTGCAAGGAAATCGAGTTCGTAGACGTCAACACCACCGTGGGCTGAGGATGTCTTTAACTATTCTCCTGCATGCGCACTATAACTTGGTCTCTCAATCTCGGACTGTTTGGCGCTCTTACACACGTTGCCCTACTCACTCTCGATCTCGCCCTCACTGGCCCACAACTTACTGACACTACTACCCTCTCTCTCCCTGCTCTCTCTCTCGCACTCTCTCTCACTTGTTAACTCTCTTCCCTCTCACTCTTTTTGCTCTCTCTCTGTCTCGATTACTGATGATAATAATAATAAAAACAGAAATAATAATAATAATAATAATAATAATAATAATAATAATAATAATAATAATAATAATAATATGATCGGGTACTGTATTTATCACCTTCACTAATCTCCCACTTTTATCCCCGATTTGCTTCTTCACTTGTTCGCGGAGAGTTAATCGGACCTGCTCACACCGATCCACCTTCAGATGGACATGGCCCCAGTAACGACCAGGATCATAGAAGCCCGCTGATTAGTTCCTCGCCATTTGTACTCTCCCCTACATGATCAGGGGTATGCTGATTAGTACCTCTTCACCGGTTGATCTCAACATGCGAGTCTCGCCCGCTCGTGCGCGAGTTGGAGCGCGCAGGAATAGAGCCCTGTCCAACGGCTGGATTCGCTTATCTATTTAATCAGACTGGCTGATTGGATTAGCGTACGCTGTTGAGCCTGTGGTTGGCTCCCTCGCTGGCTGCAATTACCGTGAGTCACTTGAGCTCTGAGTAATGTATGAGCACACCTTCAGCGTGTTCAATTTCTGGCCTCAATTAGCATATCCTGTCGAACATGTGACTGGGTCCCTTGCTGCCTGATCCATGCGTACTAGACGCGACCATTCAAGTTCGGATGTACGTGGCCACCAGAGAGCTCAGCACATGGAGGATAAGATCGCAGAGTACTCACGTGCTTTTCCCTCACTCACTCTCTGATCCACTCGCTTACTCACACGTACCCACATACTCTTTCACCCTCTCCCTCACTCGCACATGCCCATGCACTCCCGCTCTTCTCTCTCACTCTGTCAATCTCTCTCTCCCACAGTCACACTAGCGACCGCCATAGGTACCGTTGACCGTAACCAGCGCTGAACCTCAGTGCCTCGAGGACAGGTACGTTCGGTGCACTCGTCGCCGTTCACTGCCCGTGTTTGTTGACTTCGACCAGCGTTGGCAGCGGTGGGCTGCGTACACCGTGCATGCCGAGAGAGTCCGTCCCCGTCTGACCGTTACTCCCTTCGAGCCGTGCTAGTGGGCAGGGTACACCTTGCTTGCTGCTCGCCACTGTCCCAGCCTGTTCTCCCACCATCTCCCACAAG